ATATTTGTATATACTCTTTGATTTACTTCTTACCATGTTCATATCTTTTTTTAACTTTTATTTTGGAATAATTATAGATAACATAGAAGTTGTAAAAAAAAATGTACAGGCAGGTCTTATAAACCCCTTCACCCAGTTCCCTCCCAGTGGTAACATCTTACATGAATATAGTATGATCCAAAGTCAGAAAATTGATATTGGTACAATCTACAGCATGTATCCTTTGTCCTTTTTAAATATTGTTTTCTGGCCAGGATTTCAACCTAAAAATAATTAGATGAATGTAAAATATGTTGAGGGCATTGGTGAGCAAAGTTTTTATAGATACTAAAAATGAGTGTCAATTCTTTTATAAATATTTAGCTGATTTTTAATAGTTCCTTGGTAAAAAGCTTCTTTCACACCATTGAGAAAATAGTAACATTTAGTTTTTTGAGTGTTGGCTTAGCATGAATAATAGCTTTTATCATCCACAAAAATCACTTATTTTGTGTCACTAATAATAAAAATCTCCACATGAGGCATTTGTGAATTTTTTTAATCATGAAATTAAGCTGTTTTTTGTTTTTACATTTATAGAACTTAAATGGTCACTAATTAGAATATATAAAATTTTGAGTTCTTAGCTAAATTTATTATTAACTTTGATAGTTTCATTCTTAACTGTAGAGGTTTGCATTTGATAAGTCTATATGAATTTTATCTACTTAGGCTCCTTTTTTGGAAAGAGAAGTATATTTGCTGTTAACTAAAGTGTTAAGCTGTAAATATTTTTTAATTCCTCTTACAGAAGAATGATGATTTTTTTTTCTATTTAACCTTGATAGGCTTGCTGAGTTGTAGATTCACTAGATTTATCTTTTTCCAATTAGCGACTTACCAGTTCTTTCTAAAAGATAAAATATGCATTTCTTAGGTAAAATGTTACCCAGGTTAGAATTAATGCATTTTAGTAGTGATGATATTATAGAGCTTATTGTGGGAGAATGCGGGGTAGGGGGTCAGTGGATGAAAGTTGTAGATGATTTACTGAAAACAGTATATGATTCCTAAGGCCTAGCCTCTAAGAAAGATGGTAGTATCTACTTGTGAGTTTATGAATAATCATTTTCACCTGGTTTGGGTATGGGGCCTTGAACATAAGTATATCATATTTGCCAACTCAAAGAAGTTTTTTCTTCTTAATCATTTTTCTTACAAATGATTTGATTTTGTAATTTGGGAGATTCCTATAGTGGACTCTAATTGTGATTGTGACACAGCACACAAAGTTAGAAGGGTCTTAGATCAAGGAGGATAATTGTTTTTACAATATTCTGCATATAGATATATATAATTTTAAGATATCTTCAGTTTGCTAACCAAGAAAACATTTTAGTTTTTAGCAAATAGGTAAACTGTACTGCCTGTATAAAGATCACTAAGCAAGTGCCTTTTCCAAGAAGTTACCTTCCTGTTCTCAGAGCTGGACCTCTTCTAGGAATGTGCTAGATAAGATAAATGGCATATTATGAACATAGCTTAATCTTTGGATCCATGCTCATGGTTTCACAACCAGCATTTGGTGCCCAGCTAAAGCACTCTTCATTTATACCTCTTACTTGTTTAAGACTACCATATTGGTGTATTTATTGTAAATCAGGCTATTGAAAGCAGTGGTTCTCAATCTTCAGTTTCTATCAGAATCCACTAGAGGAATTATTAAACTAGATATCCTAAGTTCCATTTCAAGAGTATCTAATTCAGTAGGTCTAGGGTGGACCCAGATATTTACATTTCTAACAAGTTCCCAGGTGCTGATGCTACTGGTCAGGCACTGTACTTTGAGACCTGTTGATTTATCCAAATTCAAAAGTTTTTAATGGCTTCCTAGTCCGAACCAATAATTGTTTCGAGTCATATTGACTCTTTCAGTGTGCATTTAAGCTCCTATGTGCCAAGCACTGTGTTCCCTTCTTCACCGAGGTAAAGATAATAAGGAACTTCTGTCAAGGAGCTCAGTCTGATAGAGTTGAGTTAACAGGAGTAGTATTAGTTAAACTCATTTAATCTTCACAGGAGTTTTTTGAATTGGGGCATATAATCCTTATTTTAGATTTAAAAACCCTGAGGTCTAAAAAGGTTAAATTCCAAGAATTCATGCAATGAGTGTATAGAGGAGCCAGAATTTGCTATTCTGCTTTCCTGGTTATGCAATATAAAAAATTTGTTAAGATTAGTGGAGTAATTGGTTCTACCTTAGGAAATCAGAAAGCACTAAAGAGAATGTACTGGAGCATCTTAAGGAACAAGTAAAAACCAGATGAAGTGGGACCATGAGCATTTCCAACTAACGGAGCAATTTCTCCATGGAAACATGAGAGAACATATATTTCAGAATGCAAATAGTATGTAAGACCATAACACAATAGGCCAGATGGACCAGATGGAGTAGGAGAGGAAAGGAGACCACAGTAAGTAGAGGTCAGAGTCATGAAGGGTTTTTTTTTATACCGGACTAAGAAATTTTTCAGGTAGATTTTTTTATTCTTTCATTTACCTCTGTAAGCCAGGGGTTCTCAAAGCATGGTCTATCAGGCAGTAAAGTTAGCCTCACCTGAAAACTTGTTAGAAATGCAAAGTCCTGGGCCTCACCCCAGACCTACCAAATCAGAAACTGAGGTGACCAGAAAGTTTGAGAACCACTGCAGTAGGTTATAGAATTCTTAAATAACGGCCTTCAGAATATCCAAAGGTATCATTATAATGATAGTAATTTTGTGACTGATTTAACTCTGTTAAAGAACAATGCCTAACAAAATTGAAATACTAATACCTTTTAACAGACACTGTCTTCAACATAATCCTTTTATACTTTGCATACCTGTTCCTCTGTTGCTACAAGATTTCTGAATCAGGACTAGAGTTTATCATCAAAAAATAGGATACTAATTATTGTTCCTTAGTTAAGGGAATGGTTTGGAAACTACTTTTATTTTAATATCAAAAAAAATGAAGTAATAAACCCTTTTTTAAGGATCTGGTGTTTTTTTGTTTTATTACTTGTTAAAATATAAAACTGATGTTAAAGCTAGCATTTAAGGTGTTCTATTTAAAGCAATGTTAAAAGAATTGAATATAATAAAGTCATGAAATGACTAAAACTAATTCAGTTTTTCCTTGATATATTATTAAAATATAGAAAGTACAATCTAGGATTCTCAGGCCAACTCTAAATGCATATCACTATCTTTTTTGCCAAACTGGCCAGTATTTGGTGAATATATCCACATGATGTCTGGACTGAACTTTACATGGAAGCCTTATGGTTTATATAGTTCTGTAGTTTACAGTTACACATAGCAATGCTTTGCATAGCTTTCTGCAAGCAGTTAAAGAATAACAGAGTATTTATTAATGATCTATACAGTTGACACTTTGAACAATGTGGGGGTTTGGGGCACCATCCCCTGCAATATCAAAAATTCATATGTAACTTTTAACCCCCAAAAATCTTGACTCTTAATAGCATATTGTTGACTAGAATCCTTACTGATGATATAAACAGTTAATTCATATTGTATGTTGCATGTATGAAACACTGTATTCTTAAACTAGAGAAAAGAAAATGTTTTTCAAATTGTCACAGATCTCTAAAAATTTTTCCAGTATATTTATTGAAACAAATCTATATGTAAGTGGACTCACACAGTTCAAACCCATGTTCTTCAAGGGTCAACTGTAAATGCTTTTCAATTAGGTATAAAGAAGCCCCTTTTCATTTTATAAATAGGAGCAGCAAAAAATGAAGTAGTGCGCTTTATTAATGTGGCTAATGCTCGGATAAACAAGCTTAGTGTTTCCCCTGTATTGATTAAGCGTTTCAAGGATTTAAAAGTAGAAAGTCTGTTGAGGCATTGACACCAACCCCTTTGTTTTACAGATGAGGAAACTGAGGTCCAGGGAAGTAGCAGAGCCAGAATTATAATCAGATCTACTTGGATTAAAATATAAAAGTCACCACTGTGACTTTGTATGCCTCAATCTAACATTGAGAGTCTACATCATCTAAAGTAAAATAGTCTTCAGATACATTAACACCTAAATTTTCTTAGGTGGGGTGTACTTTATGAAGAGTATTTAGTAAAGTTTTGTGTAAAAATTGTTAAAAGACTTCTTTTCCTGCTGATATAATAGATTATGAAGTATCAGATTCGTCTTTACAAGCAAACCTAATAACTGTTCTTCAAATTTGGAAAAACCCAAAAGAAGGTAGATCCTCACTACTCTTATGTTTAAGACATAGAAGATATAAACTGCCAAAGAAGACAGCTATTCAGTCTTCTTTGTTATCACCATACAAATGCTAAGGTGATATTTGAACTTGGGATTTACTTAAAAGATAGACTACTTCCAATTATTTCCAGGAAAAACTGGTCTAAACCACATACTTGGTAGGTGATTTTCACCAGCTACTAACCTACAGTCAAAGCATGTAGGTCTGCCAGAATGTTGAGTTGCTTGTTAGCCAACCCTGCAAGTGTTGTTTGCCCAAAAGCTCTTTAAAAGTCGGTTCTAAAAATTTTAAAACCAGGTATTAAAATAAAATCTATGGGAGAAAAACCATCATCTGACTTCTAATGCAATAAATAACTGTATGAAAGGCAATTAGAATACCTAGTTGGTAAGTGAAGAAATTTAATGTGGCGAGGGTACAGCTCATTCAAAGTATATCTTTTTAAGTTCACTGAGTGGAGAACTAAACAGAATTGGGAATTATTTTTAAAGTAGCATATGTATGTCGTAGGCAAATTAGAAAAGTTTAGAAGTCATCTATTTACTGAGATCCTCATTTTCAAAATGAGAGCTCTGAATACTGAAATTGTGAGAATAGACTTAAGCTATTTTAAATTAGTATTTTTGGTTTTAAGTAAAACACAAGTGTTTTTAATTACTTTAAGAGTTGGAAGGAAGGATACATTTTTTAGAATAATTTAATGAAATATTCTAATTTTTTCCAGTGCATCTGGGGGAGGTGGTGTAGCCATTGACAACAAAATAGAACAAGCAATGGTAAGTAAAGTTTATAGCCCTCTTGTTTCATAGACCATTGGTTGCATGAAGTAGATGGTTTTGATTCTAAAAAACAGACACCTAATTTCTTTAAACCAAGATGACAAAAGTATATTTTTTGATACTGATATTTAGTGGGAGGTACTAGAACATGGAGAATTTTTAGGCTAGAAATACCAATGGAGTAAATATTTTCCCCATAAAAACATCTCACATTTTGTTCATTTCCTCTATAAAGGCCATTCTGGGGGGAATTTGTATATAATCCAAATGTATTTTTTCCCTCCCGAACAATTCAGCATCAAAAATAGTTTAGAGAGAAAAGAGTATTAAAAAGATTTTCAGCTGGAAATCTTTTTCATCTTTTGGCATTTACAGATACTGTTTTACTCAGTTTTAATAAATAGACTTGTGTTGATTCTGGTTCTGATTTCTGATATTACTATCAAAATTTTTTGCTACCTTAAAAATAATGCTGTTCATATTATATAAAATATTTTGGTTCAAGTTTAGTAAAACTGTAGATAGGCTATATAAATAAGGACTGTTAGACTCAAACTATTTTTTAAACATCCAGTGGTTTTAAAAGCTGGAAATTGCAGGTCACTTTCTCTCTTAAAGCAGTGCTATAACTAGGTTAGAATCAGCAGTTTCATATCCTTTGTTCTCTTGGTCTAACATCTAAGCATGTGATTTTAAATTTTTTTAATTCTAAGGTTGTAATTGACAATTAAAGAGCTAATATTTTTGGAAATCACTCCAGACTTTGAAAAGAATCTCCTGGGCTTGCCACACTAGTTGGGAACTGGAATTTTTTCCACCCCATGTCCCTTGAGTTCAATCAAGATACAGTAGGAACATTAAAAGCAGGAGCAGGAAAACAAATATAAAAATGCCTTGTGTTTATAAGGCACCAGATAGGACAGAACCAAATAGCAACAACACCTTTCCCTTTCACTCTTTTTGACATTCCTAATTTTGTTTTTCACAGGATCTGGTGAAAAGCCATTTGATGTATGCAGTAAGAGAAGAAGTGGAAGTTCTAAAGGAACAAATAAAGGAATTAGTTGAAAGAAACTCTTTACTTGAACGTGAAAATGCACTGTTAAAATCTCTTTCAAACAATGATCAATTATCCCAACTCCCAGCCCAACAGGCCAATCCTAGTAGCACTTCTCAACAGCAAGCCGTGATAGCACAGCTTCCACAGCCAACGCAACCTCCACAGCAGCCGAATGTCTCCTCAGCATAGAGCTTGCTTTTCTCATTAAGAAAAAACTGAAAGCAATCTATCCTTGTGTGCCACTGGTGTTCTTTCCACTTTATACGAAAGCGAGTAGCCATGCTTTGGTTGTGTGTTTGGCCTTTTCAGTATTAGACAATCATTCTACAAGAGCTTTTCCTCTCTTTGAGATGTCGTGCAGCATTGTTGATGTCCAGTTTCACATCATGAGTACACAAGGAGAATAATAGCTGGGGTTTATTATAGCAAGCAAAGTCTGCATTTACCTGGTGCACATGAGTGGGGTCTTTCAAGAGCTTTGGTGGCTCTCCCATTTTTCCTATTACCCATGGATATACCCTGAGCCTTCCTATCACATTATAAATAACAGTTCATCTAAAGAGCCACTTTTCTTTCAGTATCAGTACAATTTGCCTACGTAACTTTTCATTTATTTGTGTTTTATTTATTACAGGGCTGCTATTTTCATAATTACATGAACAATGTCACAGAACTTTTTTAAGTTTTTGAATAATTATATGTATCAGTAAAGGAGTTGAAAGACAGGATTGCATTTAATAGATAAAACGTTTAGGCAATAATTGAACAAAAGAATCCTGGCATATTTCTAACACTAATGGCAATTTACCTTCGGTATTTATTTTCAGTAGTAAAGACCCAGCTTGAATGTAAATTTTGTATAATGTAAGTATGAAGAACATAGTGCAACTGTACAGGTAGTCACCAGTTATTGTGATATAATGAATAATTGGGCTATTTTGATGAAGAAAACTTTGTTCATTTGTTTCTACTTTCTATAGAAAAATTGCCACAATTCCTCTGCTTTTTGACATTTCGTATGACTTTTTTTTTTCGGGTGGGAATAAAAAGCTGTGAAATTGTTCAACCTACTTTGTAACCAAAGAAGCAAAGCTGTGTAATGGAGTTCTTTTTTTTTTTTATAATGCACATTCTTTATTTTTATTTAGTGTTTTCTCGGTCACAATTTTCTTTGCTGTCTAGCATGATCTGCATGACCTATAATCTTTGAACCACTTTCGTACCTCATGTTTTTATCCAGCACTCTTATTGTAATATGTACTAGTCTGTGAACAATGTCAAATAAAAAAGAACGAACAGGTAGTATGGTGGAGCTGAGCTAGTGTACTATACACTAGTTGTAAAAAAAAAAAAAAATGAAGTGAGCCATCTTTTGTTCATTTAAAATGGTGTTTTGAATTTCGTATGCAGAAAACGTTTTGTTACATTGCAAAATTTTAATGTATTTAATAAATGCAACATGCAGATTAAGTGCAGTGTATACTGAGTATTTAAATTAAAATGTACATTTCATAAATACAGTTTCAAGAGAAAGCATCATTTTGTGTATACTAACACATTAAGTGTATGTCAGAAATTGATGTATAAATATATATTTTAACACATTTTCTGAAATTAAACTGCAGTTTTGAAATATTTGGCTCTATATGTGTTCAAAATTTAACTTAATTAGACTTGTATTTTCACAGTTCCATATTCTTTAATGAAAACCTGTTACTAATAACTTAATCATAGTTCTTAAATTTTCAAAGTAAAATAATTTAAAGAATGCAGAAATGGGTGAGCAATATTTGTACTCAGTATTCATACTATGTCAGTGACATTTAAGTTGGAAATCCTTGTCTACCAAAACTTTTACTTGAATTCAGAAAGGTGCCTGTAGAAATTAACATGCTCTGTATCTATTGCCAGCTAGCTAGTCAGGAGTTAATGAGAAACAATAGTTAGCTCTCCATGTTAAATGAGGATAAATAAGTGTTCTTTATCTTTTTAAAATAAAAACTTAATCAGATTAGCCACAAACTAAATGCATAAATCTGGGGTATATGTGGGATTACCAAATATTTTATATCCTAGGTATGCTGCAGGATATATCTTTCAAAATAAAATTTTAATATTAATAATATTAGAAATAACTAAAGGAACTAAGTACATAGGCTTGAGAAAGCACCCTAAAGATGTGGAGTAAGATTTTAAGCGGAGCCACCACAGATTGGATAGAAAGTGAAAATTCCATGTTGGAATGTTAACCAAAAGTTTCTCCAGGTGTGCCCTTCAAGTGTGAACAGTGTGATTTAATACAGGCAGAGAAAAACTAGTATTTGAAAAGGTTGGGATTTTGTGAAAGTATAAATTTTGGTTCTGGAGATAGGAAAACACTCTATAATGTAAAAGTCACAAGGGAAATGATTAATATGTTTAAAATGGTAATTAAAAGCGATTATTACTACTTTTACATAAATCACAGTAGAAAATATGGATAGTTCACAGAAATGGCAGTTTCTGAAGTTTCAACCTCTGGTAACCTAAGAAATGCAAATACTTAAATTGTTATTTGTCTTTTAAACAGCAGAACCTAATGTAGAAAGGCAAGTGTTCTGTGTACTTCTAAAAGGTAATTTGGCAATATGTATCAAGAGCCTTAAATATTAATAAACTTCTGAGTTTAATGATGAGAAGATGCGGTGCAGTTTTGAAAAAAACGCAAAATTATGATAGTGCCTCTCCTCTGCTCTTCCATTCCCCTACCTCCTTCCCTTTGAATCCATCCCCCACAAAAATAGCTATGAATGGACTTTACATAAACCTACTCTCATGAGGCATGTCCCCCATTCCAAAGTCAGGGACAAACTTTAGGAAATCTGTTGTGCTTGGCAGCATCAGACATACTGTATTTGAAAACAAAATCAAGCATTCCTTCAAGTGATTAATTTGTTTAGGATCTTAAGTAAATTTCAGTTTGACCTTGGAGTTGTAGGGTCTCCTCCACACAGCTGGAATGTTAACTTACTGAGATGCTAGTTTGGGGGCACCATCTTATAGGAATGCCATCTATAATTTCCTCAGGGCAATATCCATAGACTAATTTCTGTAGGCTTACTATAGCTGACCAAAAATCATAGGTAGAAAATTTTGACAGAGCAATTGTGACACAATTCTGACAGAGCAATTGTGTCTGCAATACAAATCTAACTTTGCCCAACAAAAATTCATTTTAGGTAGTTAACAGTGTGATTTTACAGCTTGCTACACCCCCCCCCAAAATGGTTATGAGTTATTAAGTATGCAGTTACTTTTAACTCATAACTGCATGCCCAAAATAGTTGGATATTTCCAATTATATTACCAATGCTGTGAGCTATTAGAAGTGTTAAGAATGTTTTACCATTAAGCCCCCAGTGATAATCACAACTGCCGTTGTTCACAAAGAATCATCACGTGTCAGAGATTACAGTAGTTCTCCAAGCTCCAAACTCTAGTCACTCCTGGGCCTTTAAAAGTATGGGAAAGAGGAGGGAGTCTTAAGATTAGAGTAACCAGAATTTCTTACCAGAAATTTGTCAACATAGGACCAGAAATATCAGCTAATTTTCTGGAAACATACTTAAGATGATTTGAAGTCACGTTTTTAAAAAAGGAAGCTTTGTAGCTGAGTGGCAGGCATATCTTTCATGACTCAGTTCTCTTAAACATAATCAAATAATTATGTTAAGACAAAGGCCAACCCTCAAGATTCACAGTGTGAGGATATAGACAAACCAACAGATACAATGCAATAATAAAGGCATTATTAAATACAGTCCAGGATGGCTTTGTTAGGAAATTTTCCTCAAAGAAGTGACGCTTAAGTCTTGGAGATAAGTGTAAGAAAACTGCTTTTGGGCTTAAAGGAAAACAAACCTCCTTGGATAGCCACAGTGTTATTTCACAGGAGGCAGACACAGGCAGTGACTGACTCATCATCCACCTTAGCAATTTAGGCGTCTACTATTCAGAAAGCAAGAATGATTTATTGAATGATTTTAAGCAGTGAGATTGTGATGAGATTTGCATTTTAGAAAAAAATAATTCTAGCGGCAGATGAGAGGTAAATTGGGGGACTGAAACAAAGCTGAGAAATAATTTAGAAAGGACAATAATCCAGAAAAGAAATGAGTAGAAAAAATTACATAGGCAATCTTGGATATTCATGAAGGAAGTTTGTCTTTGGTGTTTCTGTACCATTCTTCCCTCAATGATAATCAGTCATTCCCAGTATCAGGTGCCTGTTCTTTCTTGCTCCAAGTACAGATCAGAGAGCCCAAGTCTTAGATTGAGTCAAACCTTCTCTTCCAACAGCCACAGCTCTCTGAAATGAAAGACTTTTGTTTCCTATTAAAGGAATTTCAAAAATTTATCTAAAGGATTGGAGGAATTATAGGAGCCCAGGCTGTTACTTTATGCCTCTGTAAAGTCAGCCCTAAAATAAACCAAATGTAGTTCTTTATGGTGGCTACCATTAGAGTGGCCCAGAGGCATGAGTCCAAAGCCTGTCCCTCACACGTTTCGCTTCTTCCCCAGAGAGTATGGGTTCTGGCCCCATTATAGGTACTGACAGCCCAAGTCGAATAGGCTTTGCTAGGCTTCAACATTTCATTCTTTGACACAGTTCAATGTAAAAGGCATCTTCATAGTAAGTTCCCTGCCTAAGCAAAACTGAATTCTTCCTCCCACATCCTGCCCCAAGCATAGTAATCCATGCTTCTCTTTTTTTAGCAATACTAATTATTACTTAGTGATGTATATTTATACCCTATTTTCCCTTTTCACATTCCAGAATGCTCCCTTGTTTCTTATATTTCTATACCAGGTCACAGAATTTCTATAACAGAACCTTTTCTTTGAATGCATTTATTTTGTCATTGGAGAGATACTGTACAAGTGCTATTTAACAATTTCCTTAGTAGGCCATGATCAGTATGACAGATGAATATGTGAGGCACTATATAAAGCAAAGGTCATTGACATCCTTTTTTTTTTTTTAACAAAATCATCAATAAAAGTTAAGACAGCCTTTTAGGATTGGTAATTGTAAAGTAAGTGATATTCTGCACTGCAGTCTACTTGGCCATAGAATTTGTTCAACATAATTGCATGGTGAGTTAGCTTTATTTTTCCTTCTCTCCAGGGAAACTGGTAAGAGTAGACAGTTTGGAAAATTTTCTCATGATCTTATGTCATGGGTTTAGCTATACAAGAGAGCATCTAAGTTTGTAGAATAAGATGTTCACAGAAGCCAAAGTTATCACTTTGAAGAGAGTAGAAAAAGATGGGCTTAGATTATAAAATAACTGAATTTTAAAACAAGGCAAAAACCACACTTCTTTCCTATAAAAAAGCTGAACTGACCTTCATTTCATTCTTTTGCATGCCTGAGATATTTCTATATAACAACTGTAAAGTATTCTTGCACGGTGCAATCCAAAATGTTTTCCAGATCACAGTTCTTGCCATCATTTCACAGGCAAGCAACACACCTATAGATCTTACCTGAGTAGTTCCATGGACAGCAAGGGAACATTTTCCTCACACTTGAGCATGAAATAGTATCAATTCAGTGTCTAATTCTAGTGTCCCTACTAAAATAAATATATTTCAATTAGATGGCAAATGGACAGGAAAAAACAAATGTGTGTAACTTTGTAAAGCCCCTAAAGTGAAGGTTTTACTGTTAAGTTTGGGTGTTTTTCTTTTAAATAGAAACATTGTTGAAATCCACTTCAGATCTATTTCAATTCAGGTGTTGCACCCCATACCAGATGTTTGGGAATAGAAAGATGAATGGGACATGATTTGTGCACTCCAAGAGCTCACATAACATGTAAAAGTAAAAGCTAAAGTACCATATTGTTTATTCAAAGTATATGGTAGGCATCATAACATTTGTTGAATGATAGGTTCATATAAATCAACAGTAATATTGCCATGCCATATGAAACCTTATGACATTGCCAGGAAACAACTTTAAATCACCAAAAAGCTTTAACATCAAATAATACTTTTTAGAAAGAAGGGACCTCATGAAAAACCTCTGATCTCTACATTGAGCCTGTGAGGTGTTGCCTAAAAAAGAGAAACTAATCTGAGAGAGAAGTTTACACATTTTTTAAAGACTCTTAAATTTCATAGATAATGGACCTGATTTAAATCAAACTTAATAGAATAGGATTTATATGTCATGAATTATATCATCTATTGTCTCATAAGCAACACACACATTATCTTGGCTAACAAAATCAACTACCTTTCAATGAGTGCAGTTAAGCATAACTCAGGTGCCCGATGGCAAAAATACATCTGGTAGAGCTGAGAATCCAGAAACAATCACAAATATAGAGTAAAAGAGAAAAGCGACATTTCAGATCAGTAGAGGAAGAATGGATTATTCAACAAATAGTATTGAGACAACATAACCATTTGAAAAAAGGTTAATTTAGATCTCTAACTCAAAAACACTAATTCCAGCTAGACTAGCTAGTGAGTTTGGGGCCTTTTGGTCACATACTCCATTTAGAATTCTCCCTGTAAAAATGCACATAAGCAAAAAGTTTTACAAATAGGTTATAAAGAGATGCTCAAACTAAGAAAAATAAGAGAAATGCACAAACACTAGGAACTATACAGATCCAACTGGTGAATATTTAACAGAAATCAAGAGCTGGCAAGAATGTGGGAAAATAGGAGTCCTCTTTCCTTGGTGAGTGTTTAAACTGGCACTTTTAAAGGCAATTGAGCAGTATCCATTAAAATGTAAAATTCACATGCTCTGTGATCTAACAAGTCAAATTTTTAATGAAACACACTTCATACACTTTTGTTCACAAGGTGACTTATACGGTGATGTCAACTGCACCTATGCTTCTAATAGTACAAAATTAGAAAAACTAAAATAACCATCAAGAAAGTGAAGCACTGTAAAATACTAGTTATCAATGAAAAAGAATGAGAACCCTACATGTACTGACATGGAAAGATCTCTAAGATACAATGTTAGGGTTTTTTTTTAAAGTTTGGGAAAAAATTGTAATATATATGATACCACTGATACTAAAACACATACCATACACATTCACACACAAAAATACTGTATAGTGTACTTCTTAAGGACCTATCTGTGTATTATAAAAATGTATAGAGAAGGTCTGGAAGGATACTAACCAAACTATTAACAGTAGTTTGGTGGAGTACATTAGCTTTAACTGTAATGTTTGATGTTTTTGAGTATGCATTCATGTATCAATTGTGTAATGACAAATTAATAAATTAGAAACAAAATAAAATAGAAGGTGTTTTCTTCTCATCTTCTGCCATTGTCTCCCCTGGGGCTCTGGGTCTCATCATTTTAGCCTTCTACCTCCCCATGATTGCTTTTCACTCTGTCTCTCTTTTCTTCTATGTCCTAGTCTCTGGCTTCATCACATCAGTATTTATTCAGGCTGAATACGTAAATAAGTGATAAATATTTAAGTAACCCTTCTACCCAAACTGGGAATATGTTCCTTCCACTAGCTTTGTCTATGACCTCTTCTGCCTTTCCACTGCTGCTTCCCAGCCTGGTTGGGGCTCCCATTGTCCCCCAAAACCATTCTTGTCACATTCGCCCATGGTCACTGTTGCTAATTCAATTGCATACGTT